CAGTGGATCGAGTCAATTAGAAAGGTCGGGCGTGAAATTTTGCACTAGAACTGATTTTGATGTTAATTTCGTCCATTTGAAATTTTAAGGGGTTCCTCAAGTAGAGAATTTCACGAGGAAACCAATGGAACCACTTTCAGAACCTCAAAATGTTGTGTAAACAGCGTTATAAGCGTTTGAAGTTTCCAAATTTTGTCCGATCTTTCATATTCTGCCGTGCTAAGGAAGAACGCCGTATGAGCCTTCGGACCTTGCCAAGGTTTTTCGATAAAAACCGAATTTTTTAGGAAAATTGTGAAACATTTTCCTCAAAATTTTCAGACAATTTTGCACGAAATTTAATCTACAATATCTTACAATTTCAAGAAGAAATATGCATGAATATCGTCAAAAATAATTTTTTTATAAAGAGATATTTGCCAACTCTCGAATTTTCATACGGCGTTCTTCCTCAGCACGGCAGTATTGACTCGATACACTGTGCGACGCGAAATGACGACATTTTCGAGTCGGGTGGCGAAGCGCGGCAACGGTGGGAAAAGACGAAGGATGAGTCACCCGCGGTGGGGCGACGCGCTCTTAAAGACGTCCCCCCGAAGACGGTAGCTCGGGGGGTGGCGGGGAGGGGAGGGGGTGGCCACACAATGAATTTGCCGTATTCCTAGGTTAGGTTCTGCCGATGCCGAGTTTTTTCCTCTTTTTTTCTCCATCCGAGTGCGAGGAGGAGTTAAGTTTGGTCGATGCTTCGCGTTGCGAGGTCTCGTTCGCGGTTGGAGCCCCGCCTTGTAGGTGCTCTCTCCAAGCGACGCCGTCAAGTTTCATCATCCCCTTCTTCATTCGCACGCAGGATGTCTACAAGTCCGCAAATCGCACTGATTTTTTAAGGGCGGTCTGGAAGCACTGAGAAAGAGCGGGAATTCCACCAGGAGGTCCGGAATATTTGTCATTTTTGTCGCAGTTTAAGCGAGAAATTCAAATTTTTAAAATTTTTCGAATTTCGTCCCTAGAGGATTTGCAGGTGTCTGAAATTTGATGAATTTCTTGTCTAAGTGGAAACAACTGAGTGAACTGAACACGAGGATTCATGAATTGATCGATTATTGGAGAAGATATGACAAAATGATCTAATCTGCTAAAATGCGTATGTTAAAATGGGAAATGCCGCCAGATGACGTCACTAGGCGGTGCATTTTCTCACTTTTAAAACTATTTTTATACTATTTCCCATACCAGAAAAAAAGTATAAATAATGCTGTGAAATCACCTCTTTAAGCACTTTCAGATGGAGCAATAAAAAATTTGCATGCAAATTTTCCATCGGCGGTACTGAATAAGTATTGATTTTTTCTGTTGAGGAGGTACGGAATTTCTTGAGAATGTTCTGGAAAAGCTCTCTAAAAGTACTGATTTTTGGCCAACCTGTCACAGTAGACAACCTGACTCCATTCTTCGTCAAATTGCCACCGGTCATCTGGAAGACGCTTAGAAATCGTTCGGAAGGCCCAATGTAGATACAGCTGGTTTGGTGAACGCTATCTATTTTGCTAATATAAAAACGACGATTTCCAGCTCATTTTAGAAACAACGTATGTTGCATTAATTTCCCTATGCGGGCAGGAGCTTAATGAATGAGCCAGAACTTTTGGCTCACTATGATGGGGGAAAGCAAACCCAGTCTCACCTCGTTGAGAATAAATTTTGAAAATCCTGGACAGCAGCAGTGGACGAGGTACGGAAAAAACGTTGTCCTGCCGGCCATAGACTATTAAAAAATGGCGTCGGAACGGCAACGCGGCGGTGCGATTCGCGAGGGGGATGTCGGAGTCGGTGACGTCACTTCCCCTCGAAGCCCCCACCCCGCCCCGCCCCGTCGACCAACACCCTCGCCCTCGCCTCGACTCGAGGGGAAACTATTTCGAGGCCTCGGTGCCGGCGTTGTCACGACCGCGGGGCGGGGTCCACTGACTCCGGTACTGCCTCGGGCGAATTTGGCAACCCCGTTGGCGGCGGCCGCGACTGCCCTCGGGCACGCATGCCTGTGACGACATCGTCGCCCCTTCCGCCGGGCGGAAGCAACGCGCACCACATCCATGCGAGAAAAGCCCTCGCGCCTCCGGCAAAAGCTTGCATCCGATTATGGGCTTGGGCATGGTCGCGACTTGAACGGTCACCAAGGCGAGTATCAGAATTGTGTCACGATGATTTCACACTATAGATCAGTATAAAATAACAGGCTCACTGTCAGTCAAAATACCAAGTTCCACCTCAACAGGATGTCTGCTTTACGGTAAAAGTACGGATACACTGGAAAAGCTCGGATTTCGGAAGGTCGGAACCATACTAAAGTAGAAACTAGAAGAACGTATCTCTGGTCGTATGTTGATAATATTACCGTGAAAAAGATGGGCGAATAAGTTTTGAGCTGTGAGGTTTGGCTGGAAAAAGGTGCCAGGCTCTAATTGTCATGTTTCTCGAAGCAAACCCGATAAATCAATCGATATATCGACTAAGCGCCAATCTGCGGAATCGACAGCCCATAAGCGTCAATCGCCTTGTTTGCGGTTTTGGGCTATCGATTTCGAAGATTCGCTAAGGTGTCTACAAGTCCGGAATTTCCGGAAAGTTCGAGGAGGGTCCGGAAGTACTGAAAAAGTGCGGAAATTCCACATAAGGTCCGGAATTGTTTTCATTTTTTGGTCATTTTTGTCTCAATTTGAGCGAGAAATACAAATTTTTGAAATTTTTCGGATTTCGTCAAATGGAGGTACTGAAAAAGTACTGAATTTTTTTATTGAGGAGGTACTGAATTATTTGGGAATGTACTAAAAAAGTACTGTAAAAGCACTGATTTTTGGTCCGCCTGTTTTAGTAGACACCCTGTTTGCGCTTATGGGCTGCACCGCTTTTTCACATAGGTCTTTTTTTTGTAAACACGGAGTCACAGTGCGGCTAGTTCGCTCTTCGCTATCCGAGTTGGGTTCAAGCAAATCTCGGTACAGCGCAGCGGTCGCATGGGGTGCAAGGGACGCTCGGAACCGCTGGAGCTCCGCGAGACAGGGATCCCTGCGCCTTCGAGGAAACGAGACGCAGCCCTCAGGCCTCTTGTCGTCTTGCGACTAATGCCTTTCTAATTTTATTGCCTTGTTTATTGTTTTATTGTTATCTCCGCGGGTTCCCCCTTCCCCCACTCCACCCCTCCGATGCCGAGGCCGAGGCGACCGGAGCTGATTTATTCCTAGTTATTTATTTATAACCTTCCCCTTCACGGGAGGGGTCAACCAACCCCCGATTCCATAGGAAATATTTGTGGTTTCCCCTCTTCCCCTCCCCTCTGCAAGGTTGCCGCATCCGGGCTTACGGGTTATTCTCGTATTATGACGTCATGCTGCGGTATGACGCCGCGGACACTCCTACATAAGAGTGGAGCAAGAGCAGTAATGTGTTGAATAATACTCCGGATAAGAAGTAACAAGAGACCCAAGAGTACACTGAAGGAAAAGTTATGGTCTATTATAGACATACCATCCCCGTTCCGGGCTCACAATCAGAAGCCGAAAGTTCCGGGTGCTGGGGCCGTAGCTTCAACTGCTCCGGGTGCCATGCCTGGAACTTTTGGCCCCTGAGCCCGGAACGCGGACGGTATGTCTATGTAGACCGTAAGCACGTTCGGCCATATAGGTGTTTACCTATCCAAAAAAGTCCCTTCAAAGTTTGAAAATTCGTAGGACGCATACGAAAGAAAATCATTTGGACACGTACACACGCGCAGATGAATCGATGCCTGATAACAGATACAGATTTACGACGGAAGGGCGTTCGCACTTTGGCAGATTACTGTTATGTAGCGTTTATATCATCCCTTCGCCCCTTGACCAAGTTGAATCCAAGTAATGTCGATGACGCACCCGTCAAGTTACAAGCGAGCGCGATTACCCCCTCAAAAAGACGCAATTAAACAAGGCATAATGAGAGTTATACCCCTAAGTGCTCGATAATTCCTCCCACGAGCCGAATCCCTCGGGACAGGACCACGCAAGGTTGCCAGGTGATGCCATCGAATGTGGATATTTTCCGTGGGTTCAAATTGGAAAACTGCTGATTTTTAGGAGGATCTGGCGGCGAACGGGACCAGGCAGTTGTGCCGACAAATCTAATGCCGCTTTAAGCGACGCGCTAACTTGACGATGCTATGAAATAATCATCATAAATGGCCAACAGGGATGTCGACGAAATCCTTGGATTATTGTTGGCTGACAGGGGTCGGGTGGACCCATCCGCGTGCGGCCACAGGGACCGAATATTTGGGCTAAGTACACTTGCTATCAGGAACTACAATTTCTAGCTTAATTTAGAAACAACGTACGTATCATTAGCTTCCCTACGCACGTAAGTGTTTTCGCGGATGAGCCAGGCATTGTAGTTCCCAATTTCGAAATGTAGTCCATTTCGCAGGTACTCGAATGTATTTCAGCCGTGTCAACATTATTTTTATTTTTAATCAATTTAATTTTTATTTTAAATTTAATACCTAATTTCATTTTAATTTTCAATTAATTTAGTTTTTATTTTCAATTAATTTAATTATTATTTTCATTTAATTTAGTTTTTATTTTCAATTAATTTAATTTTTATTTTCAATTAATTTAATTTTTATTTTCAATTAATTTAATTTTTATTTTCAAAAATTTAGTTTTTATTTTCAATTAATTTCATTTTTGTTCAATCAACTTAATTCAGCTTGTGTAGATAAATACAGTCCTCTTATAGTACTTTTTTACGTTAGTTAGCTACTTAATTTACGACGATCAGCAACCAGGGTATTTACGTCGGGGACCAGGAAACCTTAAATTTTTAATTTTAATTGCTTAAAGAGTTTTAAAATTTCGGTGACTACTATTGGATCATTATTTGCATACAATTTGTTTTTAATGTACATCCATACAAAAAGAAAAACCAACTTTGCGACGTGACTGACGAATGCTTTCCGTTGTTTGTTGCAGGCCGAAACCCCCGCCAAGACGGAGGAACTCGCATCACCCCTGACGTCCGTCATCGAAGAAGCTGGAGCTGCCGCGGCAACCGCCGTAACCAAAGTAAGTCATGAGCCCGGAAAAGCATGGAGTCATGCGGACTCGAGGGTCCATCGCGGAGTCCACTCTCGTCCTTATATCAAGAAGACGACGATGTGTATATATATCCGGCGTCTGTCTCATGTCTTGCTCGTCCTGGACTCCCGGGTCCCGACTGCGGCTTATCCCGAATTAAATCAAACCCCCCCCCCCCCCCCCCCCCGCCCTAGCGGGCCCACCCCCTGGCCCCCCGCGGCTACGCCTCCCCGACAGAGAAAGGGTGACACGTTAATTAATCATGCGAGAAGCGGCGTCGCTCCCTCCTCGCCAGGCTTAGACGCTATTAGTCTTAAACGTCACAAGGATATCGAATATCCATTGGTATCGATTAATTCTCATCGAGAGTATTCTATTGTTTCCATCTGAACGATCGTGCATGGAACCAATCGCTGATTTAACAATTTGGTCGTGAAAAAATATATTCGACATGTTTCGAGTGCACATTTTACAACAGTGGAAAGCTAATCTAACCGCGGGGGTGGTTACTATTAGCATCTCTTTATTCAGGCGGTCTAGAAGTCCGGGAATCGTACTGATTTTTAAGGGAGGTCCGGAAATACTGGAAATTGCGCAGGAAGGTCTGGAATTATTTTCCTTTTCTGTCATTTTTGTCGCAATTTGAGCGAGAAATTCAAATTTTTGAAATTTTTCGAATGCCGTCAATTGGAGGCACTGAAAAAGTACTGAATTTTTCTGTTGAGGAGGTACTGAATTTTTGGGGAATGTACTGTAAAAGTGCTGATTTTTGGCCAGCCTATATTAGTAGACACCCTAAAGGTATATCCGACATGTTTCAAGTTTACATTTTACAAAACTGGAGAGCTAATTTAACCACGGGGGGTGGTTAAATTAACATATCTGCATTGTAAAATGAACATTGAAATATGTCTGACTTTTTTAACTACAAAATCGTTAAACCAGCAATTTCATTTTTTACGTGTGTCCCGGGTAGAGTCGATCATCATGATATTATGCTGAATCAGTAAGTATTTTATCATGCTAGCTTAATAGGGTTTCGGTGTGATAACATGCTGGCAGGGATAATTAGTATGTCTGTGAGAGATCAGCAGAATAAAATGCCAATACCACACTGATATTATAATGCATGCTACTGATATCATATATAGGAGAAGTGGCCAATTCACGCTGTGATATCATGCTGTTTGCTGATAGGCTTAACCAGGGATCAGAGTCAGGACGACAATATCATTTTGAGACCACGCACTACGTTTTTGCTCGAAATTACGTTCTCTGAACCGTAAATCTCTGATTGCTTTATTTTTATTCGTTACTCATAATTGGACTACATTATGCAATTTGGAACTATAAATTCTAGGCCAGTTTAAAAACAACGTATGTGCCATTAGTTTCCCTATGCACATAAGAGTTTTTCCAGAAGAGCCAGAATTTATAGTTCCAAATTGCAAAATGCAGTCCAATTGAAGCTATGGTCAAGAAAATTCCCTCCTGAAGGATTTGAAAATTTTGAGCGTTTTTTATTCCAAAACGTTGGTAGAGCTCTCTGTCATGTTCTAGTATTGATAACTTTTTTTATTTTTTAATTTTCAGTCGACTTCAGTTTCAGTTTATAGGAACCTCTTCGTATGGATGGTCACGTACATAAAGAGTCCAGAATCCATGACATGAGTCTGTCTCCTTTTTTAACCTTTTCGTTTCGTTTCAGGTTGAGGAAACGCTGACAGAAGTTAAGAATGAAGTAGTCACAGTATGCGAAAAAGTCACAAAGGAAGTCTCAGAGAAAGTGGAAGCAGTTGTCGAAAAGGTCGAAGCCGTTGTCGAGAAGAAATCCGAGCCAGAAAAAGTACCAGAAGTCAAAGTGAGTATGGTAATGGTAGAATGCGCATCTTGAATTGGGGATTTTCCGTTGCCACACTTCAAATTCTAACTATTTTTATGACACAGAAGAAAGAGGAAAACAATTCTATGGCTCCTTGACAGCATGCTGTGAATCATGTAATGCAGCCAAGTCGCTATCATTTGATACTCGTCACAGGTCGTCACTTTTCGGTCGAAGTATCACAAACGCCATGCGACGTTTCAAAATTCCCGCCGCCACTTTATATTTTACCGTGAAATTGTTCAACGGAGCTGTCCGAAAAGATCACTGAATTTTTATTCCGCTGCTGATAGAATTCAGTGAAATTTTCAAACAGATTCAACCAACAATTTTTCTCTAAAAAATAAAATGGCGGCGGAAATTTTGAAACGTCGCATGTCGCTTGAGTGTGATACTTTGGCCGGAAGTTGACGATGTGTCCAAAGTAATGTTTGATTACAACTTCTCAAAAATTGATAAGGGCCGTCGTTCTGGCCCACCCTGAATTTCTTCAACTCCATCAGTTTTTGCTCATTTGTCATGGAGTTCGTCATGATTTGGTCATTTTCCCGTCTCTTTTCGGGTCTAATACTGACCCGAACATGGGTCCGAAGGCCGAATCTGGCGAAAAATACGAGAAAAATTCGCATTCTTTCCCAAGATCGGCCCTCAGTCTCATGTCTTGGCGAGTATCAGATCTGTAAAAAGATCGGAAATTACCTAATCATTATGAGTTCCGTATAATATACACCTTCAATGAGCAAAAAATCTTATAGTTGAGGAAATGCAGCCAAGGTGGGTCCAAAAGAAGCCCCTATCCACAGCTTTCCTCAAACAAGGAGCCAAGCGCTCATCGACAAATGAACCCCTGTCTCTCTAGTTATGACTTGGAGAGTGGCATAATTGCTAGTCCTAATTACTTTCACTCTGCTTTTGTTCTGAGTTTGAACTTTGCCTTGAGCAACAAGCAACTTGACTAACATGTATCAAACAATTTGAGGTATAATGAGAGGAATGAATACGAAGTCCTGAAGAGAGAAGTTAAATACTTGACCATCTCAATCAAAGTGATAATGTCTCTGAGTTTTTAATAAGGCCAGTTTAAATTATTTACCAAAATCTTTTTCAGGGAAGATTAAAATATTGTCTTATCTCTCTTTTTAATCCTCGGCTAGACCTCCATGTGCAAGTAAAACTGATGTAACAAACAACTTGGTTAAAAAAAATAGTAAAAACCCTAAAGGATAGTGAGAGAAGGTTTCAACTTTCAAAGGATAAAAGAGTATCTAGTTGTCAGTGTTATGATTTTTACTGTAATTTTTATAGTATTTTTTTTTTCTTTACTTTTGGAGTGTTCGAAATGAAAGTGACTTTATTGTTAAAAACATGAATTAAAGTAGGGAGAAGAGTCATGAGTACTTTTTTCTCTTCTTGCGAGAGCAGTTTTAAAGAATCATCATTGAAGATTGAGATCAAACTGACTTTTGAATTTGCCCTCTCTGCCTCCTACCCTCCCCCCTCTCCATGCCCGCAGGCTTCCGGGCAAATGGCAGCTAATTGGCCATGATGACAAAAGCCTTACTCTCTCTATATGAAACATCGTTGCTCCTTTTAATTCTATTTGATTTTCTTTTTGAAGAGACTTAAACAAAGAGAAATTACCTCACTTCTGAATTGAAACCATATACCTTTTAATTTCATTTAAAATCTTTTTCTTTCAAACAATTGCTGCATTTTTTTAAGCTACTTTGGCCCTCTTTAACCTCATAAGTGTATGTACCAATTTCTTTGCATCAATTCTTTACGCAATTTATCATTCTTGGTTGCATTTTGCTATGCATATACTCTAGCAAGGCATTCATTGCATCGAAATTGTCAAATTGTTTGAACTAATGAACTTTTTCATAACTTTACAGCCAGAAGCAGCAACTCACTTATATTTTTGTATCTTTTAATCTGCCACCTGTGTAACTGCTAGCTGAGTTGAAATTGTCCTCAACAACTGCCTGTATCAGCACCAATTCATGGTCAGATCTCAGAAGAGGCTCCAATTTCTTGAATCTAAAAAATGATGTCGCTCTTACTTCAATTTTACTATTCTGGAACTCCTGCATTTATTTTATCAGAAACTGTGCGGTCGTGGCTTACAACACCTATATTATTTAATCACAGCAGAGGAGTTACCTATCATGGACGCAAAAATAGTGCAGTACCTAGACTAGTAAATTACCTCCAAAAAACTCATTTCTATTGTTTCGAAGTAAAATAATAAAAAAACCTCTTTATAAGTTGGTGTCTGTACGTAAAGAGCTTGGTAGCAGATACAATTTTTCATTTACACAACATGAAATGGTTTGTGCTCTTCGTACGAACTCTCTCAGCTTGTAGTGACCAGTGTAGCATAGCATCAGCATCATGTATAAACATAGACTGTAGTGGTTGGGTTAGGTTAGGGCATAACCTAACCTAACCAACAGCCCTGTTGGTGGAAATGTACTAACTTCTGCATTCTGTTCTGCTCTAGACCGAAACTGCACCTGCATCCGCGCCCGCTGAAGAAGTTCCACCCCCTCTGCCCGCAAGTCCACCCCCCACAGAAATCCCCTCTCCAACACCAGTAGCTCCCTCTGAAACAATCAAAAATGTTGTCAATGAGCATCAACAACAAGATAACGAGGTACCTGACATTGTTCACACTCTTCCGAAAAGTTTCATACTGCGTGATGCCAGAGTAAAGCAAACACACTTTATATAAAGAGTTATTCCAGGCAGGCACTCGCAATGAATCATGGGAATTTTGAATTGAGTGAACAATAATTGCGACTATCCGCGAGAAGAGAGATCTTAGTGCCGAAAAACTCAGAATCAAATATTCGGTATTGGCCTCTGAAAAATTGTTTTACCAATGCCATTATTCAGAAAACCTCCAACTTAACCTGTGAATTAGGAGAGAGCATTATCTGTCAGAAATGAAACTTGCAGATTCCCCCGTTTTTGGCACCAAGTACCGTCCTGCAAAATTTACATCCAAAAACTAAGATCTCTTTCTCCTTGGATAGTCTAAATTTTGAAAATGTAGCTTTCTCTGAAAGTCCCTATGAAAGAATGACTGAAGGGTTGAGTGATAAAATTTTAGTCTGAGATTATACTTTCACGTGAGGCAATCTAAGTTATTCTTTATTTCATTGACTTCAATTAATAATACCTAATCGAAGATCTAATTTCGCAGAAGATTTCGTGAGACATTTTTTAAAAACCCGTGAATTCCCATATCTACACAGTATTCAAGCTCTGATACTGAACAAATCTTGTAACCAAACCACTTTCTCCTTGTCAAGTCAAAGGAAGTGCATCTTTTTGGAGGGCTGATGACTTTACCAGCCTAGCAATAGCATCCTGATCTTGCTTGGATAGAAAGCACGACATTTGTTTTGCTCCTTTTTGGATAGCAGTTTTCTTGTCTTTCTGTGCGAAGATTTTGGTGGAAAGGATAAAATTCATAGCTTACCTCTTTTCTTTTTTTTCCTCTCTGCATTTCATTTGAGTAGTTTAGAAAAACATCTATGATAAGGCAATTAAAAATGGTTGAATTTCTTCCCTGTAATGGTCCTTTGATCTGTATTCTCAAGTGTAAACTTGGTAATTTATTTTTATAGCAAGTACTGTTTCCCTTTTCAAACTGTCAAAGCATGATTATTTATCTTCGAAATCAATTTGGTGAAGTAAAGTCTCAGAGCAGATTGTATTACCACTCGACGAAGATGAAAAATCAGTGCAGGTTTTTGCGTGACTACGGTTCGCGTTAACAGGAGGAATTTTTTGCAGGAGATGAACGGTGGAGGTGAATCACTAGCAGAGCTAACACCCGAAGAAAATGGTGAGAAGCCTTTGTTGAACGGTGATCATGACCATTCAGGGACCAACGGCTTTGACAGTGACAAAGAAATCAAGGCTCCGACGTCTGATAAGGTACTACGCCTCCTTTCGTCTCATCTAATCAATCTAAGCGTTCAGTTGGCCGAGGTTCGAACCTTTCTCGTTACTTTCACGCACGGACCGTAGACTTGTCTTGTCCTATCTGCCACAAGCCAGCACGACGTATCTTATTGGGTAGAATTGTTGTGTAGTCACATAGTGTTCAGAATCATCAATTAATCAAAGATCAAATACTTGTTCTGATATCCATTCCACACGGACTCGGATCTCAGAGAATTGGAGGGTTCCCTTTTCATGGAGAAACAAATAATCAGTAATTTTGTATAATTTTTGTCAACTCAGCTGTTTAGCATTCAACAAACCTGTTAGTTTTGAAGGAAACACAACACTAGATTTTTCCCATTTGAGCGGGTTCACCCTTCAAAAGACAACTTCGGCTGAATCATGTTGGATTTCAGTGTTTGTAGCTCACAGTTGTAGTTTCACTTCATAAATGTATGTAACCAGGACGTCTATTGGTTCAAAATATATGGAAAAAGTAATCTATACACAAGGTGGATTCAGAAGTATCTAAAAGCTACCTAAATTATATAAAATTTCCCACAGAATTCCTGCCAAGTGCAGGGAAGAGGCTCTATAAAAATACTTAATTATTTTCTTTTGGGGGGGGGGTGCGGTAAAAGTATCTTGGTAGTAGTTACATTTTTTTTTAAGGAATTGTAGTAGACATTCTGATAATTTTTTTCCTTCTCTTTTTTTGTCCACTATCAATCACTGGTAGTTTTTGTTATGTGCGGTAGTGTTTGCGTCCAATCAGAATAAATGAAGAAAGTGGCTACTGACTTGTGTAAAAATGATATATTCTCCTATCATTTGGACTGCATTTTTCATGAAGAAACTTCTATTTCTGATTCGTCAGTAAAAACACCCATCTGCATCAAAGGAACTAATTGCACGCATATCATCTCTAAAGTGAGCCAGAAAAAGTCGTTTCTCATTATGAAATGTAGTTCATTTACGAAAGGAATTATCCAAAAAGAAAAAAAATTGTAAGGAATCCTTTTATGATGCTGTTTTGTGGAAGAAACACACCCAGTTTTAATAGTGTCTTATTTTGTTCGCTGAGCTTTAGCGCAACAGGCAAAAAAATTCATAACAACCATGATTGTATTCAAGAGTCAGGCTTTCAAGTGTTATGGCGCTTCATGTTTGTGTGCATGTGTGCATTGTATCCATATTTTGCATTTGTCACAGCACTTTGCTCCCATTTAGTGACCAACGAGTCAATTTGCACATAATTGTATGCGCCTTGAAGTACATATTAGGCTTATCAATTTCCTGCGCGACAATAGCTTTTTCAAACTCTCAATTCTCAGTTTAGTTCATCTAACTTGTCAAATCAAACACATAAAGATTTGACTAGTCTGATATAGGAATTCTCTTCACACAAGCATATGTGTTGTCTCTATCATATAATTCTTTGGTAGCTAAGATAAATACGTACAGGAATTTTAGTTTTGCAAAAACTTTGATGAGAAACGTAGGAAATTTTGGGGAAACTGTGTGTGTATGGAAGGCTCTGGCTTCTTACAGTGATGGCTTATATAAATTTAAACCTTTAGCTGCCTGAACCCTAGAAGCATTGACTGGAAAAAAAAAGTTAAAATGTATGATGAAGGAAATTATTTATGTAAAATCTATCACAATTTACTTTTAAAAAAAATCTGTGCAAAGCATTCTAATTTGTTGTCTTACCCATAATTTTTTACATTGGTGCAGAGTTCAATATAAAATTCAACATACTCAACAATCAACATATATAATAAAAAAATTCTGCTGAATTTTTGCCAAAATTTATCAAAAATAAAGTGATTCAAAACTTAAAACAGAGTAAAGTGAAATTATTAGAAGGCAAAAACAAAACCTTTAAGCTTTCTTTTTCAAATGTGTTATTGGTCTCATACTCTTTTTCTATGAAGCAGTGCTGCCAGGGAGACTCTAAATAGTATTTTTTTAGGCACTCTACCCAAATCGAGTAGAAGCTTTTGCTGAAAGCACGAAAGAGGGGAAGATAAAAATCCACGCAATGCGCTTAAATTAGAAAGAAGTGGATTTGTCCATCTGAGGACTACGTGACCTCTCTTATCACACTTTATCTACATCCGTAGGATGAGAGAGAGCACACACTGGGTTACAACTGTCCTCTCACACCAGCTCAGAGCATACAAATATTTGTCTCCAGAATCACTATCGGTGTCTTATTTATTTTTATTGATCAGTTTCTGACCTACCGAAGAATTCAAGTTTATCGATGGTGGGACTATCAAACCGTATATCTGGGTTTGTGACGTTGCAGACCTCCTGTCATACTTTATTTTATAAATACAATGCCAAACTGTGTTCAACTTAACGCCAAATTCTCAGAACTTACATGGTATTCCTTTGCTGTGTAAGGAACATTTTAGGGCAACTTAATGGAATAATGTTGATTTGTTCCCCTTCAAAAAGAAAGAGAGAAAGAAAGCTGAGATTTTTAAACACTGTGAAAAAGATTTATGGTTTGGGTGTTTCATCGTTGATGTCCAGTCGCAAAATGTCTTTCCTTTAAATTTTGTTCGTTAGCACAATTTCCTCATTTACATTTTTTCGTTCCAGGTTGAAGAAGAACTAAGTAGCAAGGTGGAATCTTTAAAACTGGCAAACTCTGAAGACTTGCCCGAGGTAACCATCATCTCCATTACTTGAAGAGGCGTTAATTTATATCCTAAGACCTTAAAAAAACTTTTTTATTGCTTGCACTCTACTGTTCAGGTCAACGCGCCATCCATCTTTTCTTTTTAGAAAAATCCAATTTACATGTCTTCTCCATGTAAGGCAACCGATGAAGGCTTAATTTTGACAATAATAATCGATATTTTATTAAAATTCCCATTATATGTATTTATTAAAGTTTCTTAATGCCCTTTTATTTAAATGGTTGTTTTCCAAGATCATTAAGTGAGTGTGTGTTTTCTTCAAGTGAGTTTCAAATTATATGGTGACCCAAGTTATTCTAAAAAGCTGTGCCTTCCAACAGTCCAAATATGTCTAAAAATGATGATAGAAAAATGTAGGTGAAGGATGACTTGTTTGAAAAAACGATAGAGTCAAACGGAGAAAAAGGTACTGCTCTCCTTTACTCTTAGGTACCATTTTCAAAAAATAAATTATGACGCAGTCTCTCTCTAAACTTTTAACAGAGCCTGACAAAGAATAAAAGTATCAGTTTGAATTGATTTTTGTGCTTTACTTTATTGGCACTCATAACAACAATGAGTTAACTGTTCTTCCTCACCGATCATGAAATTAAATTGAATCATCATCAATAGTTACTATATCTTGGAATTGAGTTCTCTTTTAAGATGAATAAAATATGGATTTAAACTTGTGTATGCAATCATAGGAAACCAAGCAAAGTTCACCTTAAAAATCTAAGTTTTGCGCATTGAAGGTAAATGTCTGCCTCCCATTTCCCCTTTTTTTAACTACTTGACTTCCTCCCCGCAAATTTATTCTGCTGTGTTGTCCAAATAGGAATCCAACTCTATTGCTTCAAAATTTTACCCTCCTTTGAAGTTCTAAACTCGAGAAATCAAAATAATTTGACTGAATGGTATTTAAATTCAAGTGAATTAACGCATCCTTGAACGGACAGAGTCTACTGGAGAAAAAACCAGTCTGTGCTTTGTAAAATAAATTGGAGTGGAGAAAAGTTTTTAGCTGAGTAAATCATGTGCTTTCCTCTGTCTCATATTCTGAGTTAAGAAAAAAATGTTTAGGAAATGGAACTAAGGACTCAAATTCAGTTTTTGTGTTCTGAGATAGATTTAGAATAAAAATTCCAAACCTCTTTTTACTCGGCAAAGAGGATAAAATTCCATAAAAAATCTTTTCGCAAAACATATTTTTGGTGCTATCACACGCACAGACAAAATGGAAAGAAACAAAAACTGTAATGATATTGAATCGCCCTAAATTTGCTAAGCTAGAGCTCACAGATTTTAAATTCAGTTCTCTCTCTTTCTCAGGCAATTGAGTTGGAACTGTCAATTCTCACGCTTTAATAAGTTTTTATTACTTCTAGGTTTGCTGCTTTTCATGTTGCTAACTTTCTTCACCGCTTTGTGTGTTTTTATTTTGTTCAAAATTCATTTTTTGGGACTCTTCATTTCCTAATTCCAGGGACGGTTTGGAAGTGGCATGAAATGTTGCAATGGGCATGCTCACTTCTGTTTCGGACAGTTGGAAAAATTGTTGGTGAAACTAAGAAAACACATCTTAAGGGCAAAATTTGAAAGCCATGTAACTTGATCATGGTACTGCTGAATTTCTCGTCCTTAAGTAGTTTGCTAAGAAAAACCAGGCAGCTTTTTCGCTTGAAATTTTCGCAGAATGTTCTCCTAGTAGGGAAGAAAATGTATTGAATTTTTTAAGGAACCATGTTGATTGGCCATCTAATCCAAACTGAAAGGATTATGAACCTCCCAGATCCATTCTTTTTTCTTAGGTTAAACATCAATATTTTGTTCCTCATGTGTAAATTCTCAGCTATATTATTTCGACATAGAAAAATTTTTAAGTTTTCAACTAATTCTGAAGCTTTTGAAATCTTGTGCCAAAACGTTAGTCATTATCCGTCAAAGGAATAATTTACATGGAAAAATTTTGAAATTTTGCAAACTTCTCATGTGTTTTTTTAGTTTTGTCATCATTAAACTCACCTGTGAGGAATCAATGGACTTGGTCAAGCAAAAGAATACTAATTACATATCTGCACGAGCTTCAGTAATGGTTTACTTTTAATGAATGAAGAGTTCATGCCAAAATGTAGTTAATATTCTTTTTGTTTTCTGTCCTATGATAGTCTCAAAGTTACACTAATGCAAATAAAAGCAAAGCTGAAAGCTCTCTCAAAAAAGCAGTTAACTGATTTCCTGATTCATCATTTGGGCGCAGTAGTACATAAGAAATCCATCTAAGTAGTACACAGATTATGTGTTTCTTTCTCTCTGAGGCGGTCTCTTTGTAGAAGGTGGTATTATAAAATGTGTTGAACTATACTCTGAACTGTGTAAGATTTCAAAACCTGCCATGTAATAATCATGCAAGGAATAATAAAGCCTTGTGAATAAACGCAATATAAATATTTTTTTGTAATGAGAGCTTTTGCTTTTGTTTGCGTAGTTTATTTTTCCTAAAAAATGAATTAATTGATCATGCTGCATGTATGTTGTTCATTAAATTATCTCAAGTGTAGGCCTCTGCTAATTCTGTTCTGTATTAATGTTAGTTGCCAGTTTTTATCTCGTCAAAATGAATCTCCTGCTGGTGAGTGATTTTGAATGTTTGACTGTCCATGAAGAGAGGACCTCTGAGTCGAAAATGCCAAAATATTGATACCACTGTGGAGACATTCATTTACGCAGAAAACATGCTTCAAATTTCTGTACACACCTAAAACACAGGGGTTTGAAATTTACAGTTCAAAAAAGTCAACGAGTGCCGTTCAAAGCTAAAAAAGTTGTAGTATATCATATTTGCGAGCTCAAGATTGATGGAAATGCTTTTATACATCCTTTTTTGGCACAAAAATGAACCATCAATAGCTTCCTTTTTGTCTTGAGTTCCTAGGAAGCATTTATCATCCAAAACTCCTTTGTAATTTCTTCATCCAACTCTTTAAAACTCAGCCTGCAAAAAATTATCCTTGGTTGACTTAGGTCTTTCTCCTAATGGGCAGTCATTCACAACGATTTGATAAAGCGATCACTAGCGGCATTACTTATATTTCTAGCAATGTTTTTTATTTAATTTAACAGCAACTTTTGATACACAGTGGTTCAGCTGTTCATCAACTGAATACATTATTTCAAGTACAAAACAGAATGTAGCGTGCCAGAATACAGCTAAGTTTTTGTGGTAATCTTCACTCAGATCACATCTAGTATAATTTTTTTTTTCCTACGAAAGACAAGAGGTTTCTATGACAATGGGCAATATTTCTATCAATTGATGTTTCTTGGCGTATTCTGACAAATCTCATCATTTTTCACTAATTCACAAACTATAATTGGGCTGTTAGGCAATGAAAAGGTACGAGTGCAAAAACTGTGGAATCCTGGTTTCTCACATCTTTTATGACTTCCATGGCCGATGAGTTTTTAACACTTATGCTTTTTCAAGTAAGCTCATTGATATGCACAACTGACTCATTTATAACCCACTCAGCCATTATTTTCATCATTTGATTGAAAAACGTCTCGTGTAATTGTGGTGTAGATCACCAGAAATACTAGTGAAATAAATTGTGAAATCCTCGCCCAACGGATAACCACAAAAACTTTGACTGTGTTGACAAACATCTTCTAACATGTGTTCTTCTCACTTAAATTTTTTTATTTAATTATTCATCCCACGAAACGTACTCATTGGTCGCTGCTTTTGTAGAAAAGGGGCATTAATTGGAGAGTAAACTTTTTAAGAGAGCACTGTAAAATCCGCACGATTGTCAGTATTCTTTGTTTTTGTCGATGTCGCTTCTGTGTAAATTAGAGCTTACAGAAGCTTTTCCTGTGCACTTTCTGCTTGGTTCATTTAAATTATGTTTTCATCTGGAACGTTCGCGTGTTGAGCAAGTAAGCAAATCCAAGAAACGCAGAATCTGTGATCGGATGGAAGGAATCGAGTACTAGAATTTTGTTTCAGCTTCGGAAATGGAAATTCAACATGAGAAATTTCATTGCATCAAATTACGATTAGTTATCCTTGTTATAGGAGTGAAATGTGATGATTTGTACCAACAAAATTACTAGTGGAGGTATGATTTCTTTGTAAAATCTGACTGGAGTAGTTGGAATATTCAAGTTTTAAGCCATTATTGTCATTAGTATCTTGAAGTTCCTTGAATCTAAAGAAGGGAAGGCTCCTCTCAAAATAAATGTGATCTTCAGAACTCGTTTCATGTAGCTCGCTAAATCAAATTATGATTCCTAACATGTGGCAAAAGAAAAATTAGGTATGGCTCTTCCCGGACAAACATTTTTTTTTTTTGCGCTATTTTTGGAGCCATTAATTCCCTATTTATTCCTATTTTCATAGCAGTTGCGTCCAATTGGACAATGCGCATCTGCTTTAATCAGTAACTCCAGATTCTTGGAAGCATTGCAAAAACTCAACTAAATTCCACTTTGATCAGTAACTCCAGATCCTTCGAAGCGTTGCAAAGGCGTTTGCAAAACACCAGCCCATGAAAAGATTTTAATCCATTCATTTATGACCGTCCAAGCTCAGAAAATAGTAGTATTAGCCGGAATTACAGCAAACTGAAGTGATGTGTTGTACATTGTTAATGTAAAGCTTTAATATCGTAACCAAGGATTGAACTACTATGTCGGAAGATGTTATGTAGGTTACACCACCTAATGTTCAAAAGTTAATATACGCAGAAAAGAATAAAAAGGAATGTCAATCAATGTCAGATCCCACAATGAGTTAATTTATCAAATCTTACTTAGCTCCCAGCACTGTTCACAAGTAAATTTTTTAATACAAAAAAAATTCTGTAATCATATGTCAATGCCAAGAAAAGACAGCACTACTCCATGACAAACTACTTACCCATCAATAATATGACTAATTTTACTGTACAGTAACTTGTAATTTCAACAACGATTTATTTTTCAACCCTGAAGTGGATGGGGTCCAGTAAAGCATAATGTAACTTTTCAGAGGCAGTTTCAAATCTTTGTGGTGAAGAGAGTAGAAGTGTTTGAAATTCTGAATTTCAGCATGACATCATTCATGAACGGTCCGTTACATAACTTTCAGTTCCATTGTTATTGCGTGGCATTCGTATTGCTCGGCTGAGAATGATCTCGAAATTTCACATTTAATTTCACGATGACTTTCAAGGAAAATTTAAGAAGTTTCATAAATTTCATGAAAAGTAGCCTTAAATTCAAGTTTTCAATGTTTAATTGAAATCTCACCAAAATTTCATGAAGTATCAAAGTCTCATTTTTTATTATTCCATCTTACTTATTTTGCAATGCAAGAAGCACTTGCCACAGAACGGATTTGTTGTTGAATCCATTCCAGCCCGTATTAAACACTTAAAAAAATGGCTCTTGCGCCTGATTTGGCAGGGAAAGCATTAACAGTGATGATGAACCTATGATCCACAAAAAACTGAATCGAACCGGATGAAGACTTCGGCAAGAAAGTGCACTTATCGTCAGAAAAGCCCGATAACCTCCTCTTGGTGCCCCATTTCTACAAAACTAGGACTGGGTCTTGATTTGTTGATAACCTCCTTCTCTTCTGATGTTAAAGATCTCAAGCAACGAGGCACAAGCTAGCTCGAAAAACGAGAAAAAAAAGAAAAAGGGCGGAAAGAAAAAAAATGCTGAAAAGAAAAGCCAGGGCCAGACGGCAAAGTAATGGCTCAGGACGCTGTAAAATTTAGGGGCCCTGGGGCTCAAAGGTAAAGGCTTAGTCAAGCTCTAATTCCTATTCCCGTAATCTTCTTTTCGCTCTGAACTTTTCAATTTGCATCAGTTGGTACTTTGAAACCTCACTCTTCTCCGTCAGTTTAACAGTTGACTGACTTGGAGATGTACCGATACTGGCTGAGCTGGGTGAATTTCATGGTTCGTTCAGACTAGTAGTTGTTACTTTAACCAAGCAATTTTACGCAAGTACTTCTGCAGAATGTAATCAACTTTTTCATTCACTGCTAACTCAATTTTATTCCAACGCAGGTTTTCAAGTTTTTCAGTCTCCTAGTTATTTTCTGAATCATTTGTCATTGTTCTTTTTTTTTTTTTTTTTGTATAACAAAAAAGATGAAGAGAAGAAATGGAAAGATGTTTAGTAGTTCACCAATGAACAGTAGTTAATTATAGGAGTTTTCTGTCCCACTGTGCGTCCATCAGAAGTCTCAAAAAATTTCTTCCCACTATTCTCTTGGCGTTCATTCCTCTCTTTTAACTTGACTAAACCTTCACTAACATTAATTAAGGGATCTTAACCAGGAAGATATATTTTGTGCAGAACTATCTACATTTTGCGAGCAGCCTTATATATTCCTTTCAGTTTTTTTAGTTTGGTCTTTGATGCAAGGTTTAAATTCTTAGTCTCTGAAAAGATCTATACGCTGCTTCTGTAGTTTCCTCCAGGAGGATTTGTTGGTCGATAATTTAACAATGATACCCGGATCATCAAAAGCCTTCGTGAACATCTCCAAAAGTTACATGATAATTTAGTGCTTCAGGAGGGTGTCTACAAGTCCGGAAATAGTACTGATATTTTAAGGGAGGTCCGGAAGTACTAAAAAAGTGCAGAAATTCTGCAAGGAGGTCCAGATTTTTTCCCCTTTTTTGTCATTTTTGTCGCATTTGAGCAAGAAATTCAAATTTTTGAAATTTGTCGAATTTCGCCAATTGGAGGTTCTAAAAAAGTACTTTATTTTTCTGTTGAGGAGGCACTGAATTTCTTGGGAATGTACTAAAAAAATACTGTAAAAGTACTGATTTTTGGCCAGCCTGTTTTAGTAGACACCCTGTTCAGGTATTCATGTTAAAAATTTGACCAGTAAGTAACGCTGAAAATAAGGCTCGAGTGAATATTGCGAATGAAAAGACAAACATTTTTAATGATTAGGATTTTTAAGGATTAACCTTAAAATCTAGAAATCTTCCATTGATCAATCAATTATGAAGTCCTTCTTTTAAACACTGCAGAAGCATAGATCTATTTTAAATGAGTACTCATTTAGTCATACATAAATTACTTACCAAGTCACATCATTGATCGCTTTTGCACTTATTTCTGATCCTCTATTAAAAATTTATCATAGAAACCAAGTGGAATCCGCTGTTGTTCCTTCTTTAGGAGACAACCTAATTTAATCTGAGTGACATAAAAAATTAATTTAGCAGGAAACTGGTGTGGCCCAGCAATATCTTTCCCTTTTTTTCTTCTTTTGATTCTTCTGATCCAAGATTTTGACCTTTACCCAATCTGTTAATGATCCCAGGATGGCAAAATTTCATGAAAAATAAAATTGTGAAATATTTCATGAAATTTCAGAAATAAATGGAAGATATAGCTCTAGTCATGGATTATAAATTCAAGCTAAATAATGATCAAAATGCCACCAAAATATTGTTAAGGTATTGTTCTACTAGTTTTAATCACTCATATTGCCCTTTCATAAAAGGTCAATGAAGTCCGCAATTAGATCAAACAAAATCAAGAATTTTTTTGTTCTCCACGAAATGAATGTTTCATATTTTTCAAAAAAAAATTAAGCTTCCAGAAATTTCATGAAATTTTTCACCAATATTTCAAATCTTCCATAAATTTCTTTTGTTTCATGCCACCCTGGTTGATCTTTCGTCTTCCGCACTCCAGTCCACTCTTCGCATTGATATTTTATATCCTTCAGATTTATTTAATTAAAAATGTTTCTTATTCATACTAGAATCCAGATAAAAATCATTGACATTAATCTGTTTCAATGCTCTAACCCCTCTACAAATGAGTGATTTTTGATGTGTACTTGTAATGCATGAAACATATAATTGTTTCTATCTGCTTGTATCAGCTCAACCATCAACTTTTTATCCTCTTCGACCTCTATTTATTCCCTCATTTCTCTATAACCTTTGCTGTTTTCCTCTGTTGTCCTTGCAGCTTTGAGCCCCAGGTCAAGCCTTTCCAGTTCCTTATTCAGGACATAAGGTGGAGCCTTTAGTTTAGACTGTTTTAAAGGTTATGCTATTCGTTATTTTTCACCGGCTCAATAGTTTTAATGTAAACATAATTACAACCTTTCTATTCTTACGATATATTAGCTGCGAAGTTAGATACATCCTAATATGTCTTGTTATCAAAAGTTCTTGCATTTGATATGTCATTACCGACGCCTTGGTTCATTAAAGAGTAATTCGCATTGAGCAAGTAATAAACCGTCCCATAAATATTCAAAATTTGAAGTTGAGGATGTACATTTTGTTCAAGTTTAAACTGTCTGAAGTTAATATCCATGGTCAAAATGTGAATCTATGCATCTTAATCGTGGTGTTTCAAACTTTCCGCTCCCATTTTATTTTCTCAAAGAAAAACAAGCCAAATTTTTAGCTTGAAATTTATGTAGAATAATCTGCTTACTGAGAAGAAAAATTGGGGAATTTCGTTGACGAGGTTTCCTAGGAAAAATTAAGTATGACAAAAAGTTTGCATACGAAAGTATATTGTTTTGCACTTCCACCAATGATACATACACCATCGTTAGAGTAACTTGGCCACTAAATCAGTCTATGAAATGAACAAATTTAAGTGCCTCAATCAATCCTTAACTTTTCTGTAACATCTTCGAAAAGCGCTCTTTTTTTATGAACAAGGATGTTGCCGGTTAATGATAATTGATGCAGAAGAACTTGTGACTCGATTTGTGATGAAAAAGATAACTTTTATTATTTTGCTTAGTTTTGTATGATTTTCCTTGCCTTGCGGAAAGCAATCTGAAAAGTTTCATATTGAAGTCCCTCTCATTAATTTTAACCTGTCCACAAAAAAGTACTTTTGACGGTGCATTTGAGATTTCCCTTACATCTCTTTTTAATGAAACTGCATTTCTAATTTCTCGCTCTCATGCTCGACCTTTCTCTTTTCTTATCTGGTGGTGTCAGGCACAGCTTTTTGGTGTTCGTAAACGCTTTCATCTTAATTACTTCTCGTCAAGTTTCATGATCGAAAAGAGAGACAACCGCAATAGTCATAGAACTTTTATATCTTGAAGATTGTTCAATCATACAGTAATAAGTAGCAGGAGTTTTTTACGATTTAACGATTTTGAGCTGGAACTTAATGCTCTGGCTATACATTAGAATTTATAATCAAATGACAAATGAAGCCCTCAATATCAAAACATTTAAAATCGATCATCATGTTTTAGTATCTCTTGGACATTTATTAGGTTTGTAACATCTTGAGCTCGTCCAAATTTCCCGGATGATTCAGCAGAAATTTTCTTAATTCCTTCTTGATGGGGGAAAAAATGTGAGAATTACTACAAAACTATTTTGATCTGCTTCTTCTGCGCTTTAGCGAATGATTCGATAATCGATCAATCAACTGACAATTTCTCAATTTTACCACATTTCTCAAGAATTTCCGGCTAGTACATTAAGTATTTGCACAAAAATGTGACCAAAAAACACTTAGTAATAACTTAGCAAATATGTCCTCTTTGAATATCGATTCGTTGTGTCCAAAGACATTGAATCATGTAGACCACGGTCCGGCTTGATTTAGTACAGGCGGAGCGAAGCAAGTCTCTCTGAGCCCCATGATAGGCGGGCGGGGAAGGGGAGAGAGCGTGTGTCTCAAGCACTCGAAGAGACTGCAGAGAGGCAATGGAGAATTCATTCCCGCGCTCGGTTTTTCACAAATATCTTTATTGGAGTCCATTTTCAGACAAAATTCCTAAGAAGGAAAGGTTTAGAACACATAATTTTACACCCAAAGAGCATTGTTTCATTTTTCCGAACCAATTATTAACCAAGGAAAAAACCTCACAATCTGACAAAAATTCACTGGAACCGCTACAGTGCATGCGCAGATGTGCGCAACTGGGACACACGAACTCATCGATGCGGGTCGGTTCCACCACTCATCGGCATGCAAATTTTTAAAAGTTGCCTCGCTTTCCGTAACACGGGATGCACGGTCTACGAGATTCAATGTTTTTGGTTTTATCTTTTGATTTGTGATATGTATACACTCAGGGCGTCTCATTAAGGCTTCTTTTAAATTTCTGAGCCTAATTTTGTATAAAAATATCTGCATTACCTCAGGGCGATGTAATGCTCGGAAATTCTTAAGAAATGTCTTTGAATTTAGAAATCATCAATTGGTCGATCAACCATCTAATCATTTTCCTAAGTGTTGAAGATCCTTAACAAACTTTAAATTCTTTTTTCAGTCTCATTTTCTAGAAATTAGTATTTAGAAAACTCTGCTTTTACAAATAGCGCTCAGAATTCTGTAAAGATCATCCTATTGAAAGAAAGGAAACATTATCAGATGCTGGATTCCTTTGTACAATATCGCCGTGCTAAGAAAGATCGCCATATATGCATTCAAATGTTGCCAAATTTCATCTCAGAAAATACTCTTTTTCAAAGAAATTTATGAATATATTTTCGAATACTTGAGACCAAATTATGAACCAAATTCTCTAAAAAATGAGAGGAAAAAATCTACAGATTTTTCCGACAATTTGTGATTTGTCGAAGGAAATTTGGCAATATCTGTAGGCTCATACAGCGTTCTTCCTTAGCCCAGCACAATAGGAATCACTCTTCAACTCCTTTTTATGGAAGAGCTTACTAGTGCTTGAGTGTGCAGTGTGCAAGAGCTTGTTAGTGAGGAGAGTTCCCAAGAATTATTTTTTACTCAAAAAAGGTTAGAAATGTATAAGATGATTCAAAAGTCCTTTCTCATTCCCATAACCTTTAGGGGTCTTGCTGGGTTACAGCATAATCACCTTAAAATTTTGGGGGTTCCAGAAGTCATCTCCTGTGACCTACAAGCAATCCCGAAATTTCAAGTCTCTTCCCCACTATGTTCAAAAGTTATAGGGGTGGCTTGTGGTGGAAGCCTATTGGATCACTTTGTAGATTCTGAATGAGCAAACAAGTTATTCAAAGATATCACCATTTATTACTTCTCATTAAAACGCTATTTTTGTAGGTTTGATAACTCTGCTTTTTTTCGTGTGTTGCAGATCATCGATCAAAACAATGAAGTCGCTGTAACAAATGAATGAATGTCACAAATGACTCGAAGTCCTTTTGTATAGTCAGTTGATATCTCTTCTATGCCTGGTCGATCTTTCCGCCATTGCATTCGGTCACCGGCCCACGAAGCGCCCCGACTCCGTGCCTTTGGCCAACCCATCCATTCCACAAGAAGCTCAAGGAAACGCTCATTTAACTTAGGAACAAACCATTCCGATTTTTGATATCCGAATTTTGAATCGCGATTTTTTTAAATAACATTTTTCACCGATCGGTGCGCAAATCCCTTTAGAAGATGAAACGGAGTCGAAACTTGAGATCTTGATCACATGACGGTAACTTGATCAGAGGAAACGAACTAACCTTTGGTGTTGGACAGAGTGAAAAAAACATAATCTCCATTTTTTTCTCGCAGACCAGTATTTCACACGAAAGCAACACCAGTTTTTCTCATAAAATTCGTAAAGCCTTGTCTTTAGGTCACATTTTTCCACTTAAGTACGATTGGACAATGTATTTGAGGCTCTCAGGAGCGTACGTCCTCACTGTAGAAAACTGGAAAGTTCGTTCAGAGGTCAGATACTCCCTCTGTGCACTGTGTAGCATTAAAATCTCTGTAAAATATTCTTTAACTGAAGTTGAGATGAGTTTTATAGACAATGAATTTATTTATTACCAGTGAATGAATCTCATTTGGTTTAAAGGTTCTGTTTCTGAAGTCAACATCTTGTCACCCTAAGTTGTCGGATTTTTCTCGCATCTTCAGTTAAAAAATTATTCTTAAGGAAATGAATAAACACATTCATCATTTCAGACACCAAAAGCTGGTTCATTTCCTCTAGGAGATCAAGTTTCCAGCACTGTTGTCGCAGGAGAAGGGATTTTTTGCGTCTCAAGTGGTGCTCCTATGTTTGATAGGTTTTGTTAAATATGGGTTTTCAGTGCTTGTCTAACGCAGTTTTGTCAAAGAACAGCATAAAATTCTTTCCGGAAGGCGACAGTGAAGCATGCAAGCACATTCTAATACCCTTGACCATGACTTTCCAGCAGGAATTGTTCTTTTCTTTTCAAGTTTCAATCGATAGTTGATCCGGAGCCAGTCGTTCAATTCTCTTAAGAGATCGTCAAAAAAACAATGATATCAAGGTTGTGATCAGCCGTTGGAATGCTGGCTTCAAGCACATTTTCTGAATACAATCTGAAGAGAGATTTGATTCACGCTTTCAAGAACGTGCAGCTTACGTGGAAAAGGTCATGAGTTGCATCAGACACTCAGCTTTTGAGCTCCGGTTCTAATTTTTTGCACCCTTTTTTATACCAATCTGTATTTTATATATGTTTTTATATATAATCTGACATTAAGACTGGTTTTACTACTTACTCTCATGTGTTCCAGAGATTCTGTATCTCAGTAGTGAAAGATTGATCGAAAAGGGAGAATGACACTGAACCCCCCCCCCCCTCTTTTATGTCTCTGTAATATTTATGAAATTTTATGAGTTTTGTATAAATCTTTTTAATTTTTTCTCAAGTTAAGGCTTTTTATGTTGAATATTAGCGATAGTGTACCTATCCTTATTGCTAGCTATTACTATTTTTTTATTTTTTTTTTTTATCATTATAGTTTATGGCCAACTTTTTATTATTTTTATCATTACATTTTTATTATCACTATTAATATCACTTTATTCTCAGACTTTGCTCCAAGAGTGATTCCAATAAATACTAGCGCTATGAAGTGATTAGAACTTGATTCAAATTCACTCCCTCGGAAGACAGTTTCATAGCCTTATTTGCCTCTGTTCTTCGCGTTGTCAGAAATAAAATTTCTTGTGTATATTCAATATTTCGTTATTAGATTCTATTAATCCTCAGGCCCTTAACGGTGTAAAAAATAAAAAAGGATGTGTTATAGGGATCACCCCCTGTAATTTCATTTATCAAAATCAATTTGCAGATAGTTCTCAATCTTTAGCTAAATGTCATCTACTTTTGTCACTGTAAGTTAGAATATTTTATCCAACCTTTTCTTAAGGAGTTAATATATCCGAATTTTTTCACTTTGGTCTTGGTTGTGAATCAAATCCTGTCCAAAAAACCTGATTTGTTTAAATAAATAGCCTCTTGATACGTACAATTGCCATGCATTTATCTGTAATTTAGTACCTAAGTAATTTTCTACTTCGTTTTTAACACCAATTTTTCACATAATACAGTGGAGCCCGTATATAACGAACCCGCTTTTAACGAAGTTTCGGATATAACGAAGTAATTCTCATTCCCCTAGAACCTCCCTATACACTCAATAATAAAAAAGCCCGCTTTTAACGAAGTCTCGGCGGCGGCACCTCGCATATAACGAAGTAATTTGCCGCCATTTCCGCTATTGTGTTCGGTATTTTCTGCTCTCTGGGCGAGTTCCGCTCGCTTGCGGTAAAACGTGTGACAGTCGCGGAGTCACGAAGTTACGAATAAAAGAGAATGAGCGATAACGAAGTGAGCGACTGCGCAGCCCGCCGCGCATGTCTCACACCGCACTCTCTCACGGGGAGTCCGGCAGCGTGCCGATTGAATCGGCACGCTGCCGGACTCCCCCCTCCCCTCCATCGCAGACGCGTGCAAGTGTGAGAGAGTGCAGTGTGAGACATGCGCGGCGAGCTGCGCAGTGAGCGCTCACTTCGTTATCGCTCATTCTCTTTTATTCGTAACTTCGTGACTCCGCGACTGTCACATGTTTTTTGATTTACCGCAAGCGAGCGGAACTCGCCCAGAGAGCAGATTGTGTATTTTTGATCAAAATATACAAGTATTGAATCTGTATATTTGCAATTTTTTTTGTGTAATTTTTCCCGAAATTTTCCCACAGAGTCCGCTTTTAACGAAGTTCCGGATATAACGAAGTTTTTCTGGGAACCGTGAACTTCGTTATATACGGGCTCCACTGTATTACACAAAATCTCTTTGCTCACGCCACGTAGATTTTTTTAATCTTTTTCAAATTTGTCCGTGATTCCATTGAAATCCAAGTAAATGAATTTGTTCAAATCTCAGCTCAATTTAGAAATCATGACTTTTTGACAAGTTACATCAAAATCACTGATTCTACTCTGAATCATATCAGTATCACAGCCTAGAGATTCAATCTTACAGTCTCAATTTTAATCTTCTAATTTTGATCGTTGCGCGAACACATATTTCAATAGTTTCATATGATTTTGATGATTTCGTCAATAAAAGCTTGTTCCCTTTTTTTTAAGTTCTTCCATTTGATATTGGCGGCCAAGCACAAATGAAAAAATACTAGCTTTAACTCGTGTAAAAATGCTTACTGTCTTATCGAGTCTGTGTTTTTTCCCATCACAACGATGATCTTAAGAATTTTTATGAGTAGTTATTGTAGCGGTTTGTTAGGCTGTTTTGTTCTTATTCTCCTAGCCCTACCTTTTTCTGTGGTGACAGATGTGAGGTCTCTCTCCCCTCTCTATCCACTGCCCTCAAACTCCACCTCTGCTTGCTTGTCGTTGGAATACTTGAGGAGGGCTTTAATACATGAAAATGTTGCGGGGAAAATTGAGGTTTCAGCTGATTTTTGTCGGCTTATGAGTCATTGTCAAAGGAAGTTCTGAATATGATCGACAGCTGAGTTTAACAGAATAATTCCCTCAAATTAGGAGAGGTCTGTTTTTATTTGAGCTCTCGACTTTGCCTTTCTAACACTTCTTCGGACAGAACTGATAATTGTTCTTCAAGATTGTTTTCATAAATGCTTCTTTGCCATCAACTTATCCAATCTGGAGAGCTGTACAGAATGATTTTCAAGGCACCATTCTGAAAAGGGACAAGAACCCTACAGTTGATAGGGATAGTGCGATACTTTAGGACCACCCTGTAACTTTTAACCTCTCCGAGCGGTGATCTGTCTCCATGATAATTCACTCTGGGAAACAGTTTTGAAATCAGCTGCAAATCTCAAGACGTTACTTTTCTGAGCTACAAAATTTCTGTAAATATTCATTTTAATACTCTAGTTTGTACATATCAGTTCTATCTAAATCTTCAGTAACTGGCGCCTCTTGCTTGAGCTTTTACCGTGGACCGAAGGCTTAATGTCTTATCGCTGGCGGACAAGAAGTCTTGGGATAATGCAGAAAAGTCACAACCTGTAAAACTTTTAGGGAGGGTAGATTTGATGAGTAATCGCTAATAGGGTTTCCATGCTGAGATGATGTCTTTATAGGATTACTTTGTTTTAAATTGATGATTATTTGAGGGAAACGTAACGGAACAACGAAATTGTTGCCTTGTAGAATGAAATTAGATTATTCTGTTTTGATTTTATGTGTGAGGCAAATCTACTTGTATTAATATCTCCAAAGCAAAAAGATCAAATTTTTCAAGATATTATTCTCTGCCGGAAGAACACAACTTTTTCCCCTCGACTCATCTCCAAGTGCAACATTTTTCCTGAGAGTGAAGCCACTACAAATCACAGAACCCCCTGCCCATGTTCTCTTTAAAAACATATTTACATTTTCTGCGTTATTTTTTCCAAAAAGTTCGAATTTAGTACTAACTCCATCTTATTTTAGTCCTACGGTTAGTCGTCTCGAAGTTTCTCCTTTCTTCATCGTTTGTTTTTTGAAGTCTTGGGGCACGCTTCTAACAGGCGGAAGCAATCAAGCGGAGGTGTTGTTGTTGTTGAGCCTTGAAGTATTTTAACGACAAGTCGACAAATCGGCTTGCTGAAGTGTTAGGCTTAGTTCTCGTTAAGCTGTTAGAACATTTTTTCAGCCCTTTATTATTAATGTGCTGTATACATAATGGTGTCTTTGTGTTTCGCAGGAAACTTACTGTGCACTTTATCTCTCTGCATTGCGTGGCAACAGGTATTGCTTTTTTGCCGGAGTTAGTGACTAGAGACTCAAATTAGCCAAAATGAACAGGCATGTACAAAGACAAATAATGGAACAGAGAAAGAAAATGCTAAGTTTCCCAACTGACTGTTCAACTCTCATGTTTTAGACTCCGCAAATTGAGTACTAGTAAATAAATCTGAACTGGCATCATAAAACTGCTCAACAGTTGGACTTTTGGGAGTGATATTTTCAATTTGTGTGATACGTTTTAAGATCTGCTCACTGGTACCCAAACTCGAAGTTTGCGGTTTCAAGCATGGACAAGCCAGAACAGTTTTGGTCGTTGTCTCGCATTCCGGCAATTTTGGTGTTGTATGTCACAGTTGTACGCCAACGTTGTTACTAAGCTTTTGTATTTCCCTTCCCCTTTATTTTGTTATTTTTATATTTTTTAATTATATTTAAATTATTTTAGGATGTTTGAAAATAATTTTTGTAATTTTATATGAAACAAATTGGATTTTAAAAGTTTTAAATTATAATGTAATGATAAATTATTGTAAATTAAGTTTTAATGGATATTTCATCTTTGTAACCCTTGAAAATTTTCAAAAATATATATGTATTTAATTATTTGAAACTTTCGTCCAAATCCTTTCGTACGCCTCCAGCTCCCAGGTTTGCTATTTTACCATCTGATCTTCCAAAGCAGTGCACACTCATTCAGACTTCCTCTTCAGTAGCTTAACAAAAATTCTATCAATATACATTTTTGTAAGAATATGAAAATTTAAAATAATATGCAGTACTAATTTACAATTCATCAATTTCAGTCAACGTACTATGTAGCTCCAATAGGAAGTACTGTGAATTCAGAAATACTTGAGTGCAATAGTTCACACTGAAGACCCATACTATATGCACAGATATAATACTGGTTTTCAGAGCAACAAAGAAATTTCATGAACTTGCCTTGCAGTGTTTAATATCATAAATTTGAAGTCATATTCTATTTTAATACAGGAAAACCCAACAGTTTTTATTTTCCGTCACTTTAGATGATACTCCTTTGCCTACCATTAAAAAAAAATATTGAAAAATCGCACTGAAAATTTTTCAATTGTAACTTGTGGTACATATTTTCGAATGTAATTTTGTAACTTTAAACTCATACATCTTGAAATAGCAAGAACTCCACTTGTCCTCCAAGCCTTTCGTTTGAATTCTACTAAACAGAATTGAAATAAGTGCTTTGTAATGCAAGCAAAATCATGGAAAATCTCAAGAAAATGAGGAAAAAAACTGCCTGATAAGCCTTGAAACGGAAAATAAAATGGTAGCAGTAATGTGGCACAATGTAGATGTAGAATCACTTAGTTACTCAGTCTCAAATATTTTAATTGTATATCATGACTAGCCACGAGTGAAATGCATTTTCTGTGCCGAACTTTAATTATTCTTCCTACTACTCCTTGGCAGCAGAGATGCAAAATTTCATGAGACTTCATAAAATATTTAAAACCGGCCTTCGAAGTTGCCAAAAAATTAAATATCTGTGCATGATAAGTAGATTTTCCTTTAACCTCCTTTGAGGAGTCATCCTTTGTTGGGATTTTTTTCACTCTTCAGATAAACTAATTATGAGTATGACGTTAAAGTGCAAAACTTTCACAAAAAAATCCTGATGATGAATCACAGGGATTTTAGAACAAAAACGAAAATATCATTTGTCTGTCGAAATCATGAAATGCAACGGAAAATCTGTGACATCACTGGCCTAAATACACGTGTCTGATTCCTCAAAAACAATGGCAAAACTATAAAACAGTGCAGCTTGGTAAATATATTTGTGAAAATTACATTAAGCACTGCTCTCAATATATCAGAGCAATAATCGGAGAGATTCGAATATATTAAAATGAACCGAAACCTGTAACAACTTCTTCTGTAAAACATTAGAGAGAGGAATTCGAGGAAATCTCAAAATCCAATTATCCGATTTCTGACTCCCTTCAAAAAACATCTATCTACGTAAGGAAACTAATAGGACTTCATTCATCGTTTCTAAAGTGAAGCAGAAATAGTACCTAGGTATTAATGTAGTCCGATTTGCCTTCATGGACTGAAGTTTTGTCGCTAGCGCAGCGCATCTTATGATGCAGCTCACATTTCTTGGTATGTTGTACCTAGCCTGCTAAGTCCGATTAAAAATTTTAATGAAATTGAAATATAATGTTTTATTTCCAAAAAATTTATGAAATTTTGCTTTACTGTGGTAACC